TGAATTCCAGCAAGAAGATGTGATGTTAGATCCTGATCCTCACTGCCAATCAACGATATCTCTTCTGCTCATCATTGTTGCTCATTAAATGTGTCATATTTCCTACCTTTCTGCAATTTCAGTTATTGTTCTGTTTGGCCAAATGGAGTTAGTTCTCTGATTGCAAACGAGGAGAAAATATACTCTGCTTGAAAATCTCTTGACTGTTTCAAATATATCCCTGGAGCTCAAATACTGTCTGTAATTATTAAATGCTTCACCACGGAATAAATAACACTGACTCTGTGAAAAAGCAACTGTCTCACAAAATCTAATCAAGCACAGGGCAGGCCATTCTAGTACACACACTCCCTCTGAGCAGGTCTGTGCATCTCATTTGTTTTCCTGAAGAGTCCTTGGTTTGGGGTTTTAAATAATTCTTAAGGCAATGTACACCTGAAGGAAAACAAAGGGATAAATAAGACTGCAGGGCTGCTGAGAGGGTTAAGCCCAGCACCCAGGAGGAGAGGGTGCTCCTGAGCTTGGTTTCCCATCCAAGGACAATGCTTTATTACTGGCTTGAGAGAGCGATTGCTTTTCTCCCTTCCTCAGCAGTGATGTGGAGCCGCCGCTGATTCCTGCTGACTGCTCCTACATCCTACACACCTTTGTGGGGCAGCATGGCCAGAGTGATGTATAGCGACGGGTCTTCCGGGCAGTGGTGGGCAGCCCTTTCTGGGGTCTCAGTCAATGCCTACTTAACAGAGATGGGGGCCAGAGTTGGTGCCACATCCAGGAAGGACGCTGCAGGTCTCAGGAACACCTTTATGGCCCTTCAGCTGCGAGAGGCTCCTGTGCCATTAGCCACAGATTCTGTGCTGGCCAAGGGTATGTGCTGGGCTCAGAGCCCTGGCCCCAGGGAAGCGATGCTCCTGCAGAGTGATGGAGGAGGCTTCTCATCTCATGCCCCTGCCCATGAAGTCACTCCTCTGTCTCCTTCTCTTAGAAGCCTGCCCACGCCTTTTCTGCCCCTGCTCTTAGGTGAACACTTAGAATGTGGCACCAGTCTCTAACACTCAGTTTAGTTACCCAGGCCACCTCCTGAAAGTACCGTTATGACCTTCTTCATTATCTTTGCCTAAACTGTACTCCTGCCCTGGAATATACTTGCTCTCCAGCCCCATCTCTACCTGCTGCTCCAATGCAAATCCTGGGCTGAAGACTTCCACACTGGCCACCAAAATCTGCCTTTATCACTGCGTAGTCATGAGCTTTGTGCTTATTTTCAAAATGAGCATAATTTGGAGAGTTTTATCGAGAATTAATTGAATTAATATGGAATGTGACAGGAAAATATGGTGGACAGTTAGATTTAAAAAATCATTACAGTAAAGGACTCCTTACCATTAATCCCCCCTACTTGGAACACACTTAGCCTATTGTCCTTGCCACTTTCTGCAGCAGCTTTGGAAGTCCTCTTTCATGAATGTCTTTAGTTGTGCTGTTGTGGCTGCCTCGATGTCCTAATCAATTCAAAACATTTCTCTTCCATGGTCATTTCGACTTTGGGGAGGAGCTACTAGTTGCATGGTGCTAGATCCGGTGAATAAGGTGGATGAGGACGCACTGTGATGTCTTCAGGAGCCCACCTTTCTGTGGATGCCATGCCACAGCAGCATTCTCTGTATTTTTGATCACCTGTCATGAAGACACTCGTGTAAAAGGACTTCCAGATGGATAAGTGAGTTTGAAGTGAGAGGTCGTATTTTGAGAAGGATTGTTGGCAATGTGTCTTTTGCTGTAATAATTTTTAAAATTTAAATATTCACCGAGTATTTTGATCTCATGTCATACAAAAAACTACCGAGCCCAGTACCTTCTTGTGTTACTGCAGCTGGGGCCATGTTAGCACTGCAGACATTTGGGCACAGGCTTCCTCTTCCTGAGATTTTGCCAGCTCCTTAGATGTTTGGACACTAAATCGAGTAGCATCACAAGTACAAAACTCAAGTCCCAGGTCTATTTGTTGCCTCTTTTTTCTGCCTGATTCATTTTGTTACTTTTTTTTTTAAATTGCAGAAAAGATCAAAGACATAGGAAAATGGAGTGAACTTCCATGTACCCAGCTTTAACAGTGATTACCTCATGACCAATTTTATTTCCTCCACACAGCAACTCCATCTTTCACCTCTTTCCTCAAGAAATCAGTAATATTGAAGAAAATATCAAACATAATATCATTTAATTCTAGAGAGACGTTTTGGTCAACATATCCTACACTGGTGGGGAAGATGCTTTATTCAAACCTGCCCTATGCCAAGCAGGAATTATCTCTAAGGTGGAGCCAACATTTTGGACTAAGGATCCTCCCTATACTGAGGCTTGAACTTTGACCCCCATCCTCCCATAATCATTCATAACAGTAGTTACATTTTCAGATGCCGTGGGCTGAGCTGGACCACATCCAATGAATCTGTGATAATGTAGCTGGCTGTGGTGGTGCACACCTGTAATCCAGCTATTCATGAGGTTAAGGCAGGAGGATTGCAAGTTAGAGGCCGGCCTGGGAAACTTGAAATAGAGTAAAAACTGTTCAGTGGTAGAGCACCTGCCTATCATACTGGAGACTTAGGGGTCAAGCCCCAGGGGAAGGTGGAGATGTGGAAAGCTGATAAAGGCTTAATCTTTGAATAACAAGCTGTGGTGGGTAAGGCTCTTTGAAAATGAGTTGGTAATGGGGAAAGACTCATTCAGTGGTCAAAATGCACACTGTCTTGAATTGTTGGCTTCCTAGACATGGGGATAAGGCCTGCTGGGAGTAGCTGTGCCTGTGTCTCCAATAAACGGACACTTGGGAATTCTTACTGCTGACAGTGACAAAATTTTATTGCACTAAACACTAATTGGCTCTCATTAGAGGTTTTTAGCCAGTTTAAAATTGTTCTCCCAAGAACAAATTTGCAAAAGAAAATATTCAAAGGAGAAGACATTTCCTTGGTGTTTTTGTTTTTTTGGAGCACTCTTGCGGCAATGCCACACAAGCAAATTTGGCTGGAGGAGGTTGTGTTTGAATTTAATAATGAGGTTCAGGAAAAACTATTCTGTTGGCTTAGATTTTTGTGCCTGGAAATTAGTTTAGTGCCTACTAGCTCTGGAGAGATAGCTGGTTGGTATGTGCGCTGGGTCTGCCCGTTTTCATATCCATGGAGAGGGCCGGTGATCAATGCAGTTGAAGCCAGGCCCTCTGCACACTGTTCCTCGTGACCACTGCCAATGATGTCCAGTACCAGCCTTAGTGACATTTATTCCACAGCTTCATTTCCCTATCTCTGAAAATGGCTTATTTGCTAAGGGTGTGCTAGGATCTGGTGTTAGAAGTCAGGACGAAGAGACCCCCACCATGGCCAAGATCCTCAGATCTTTGTAGGACAGTCTCACCCTCCAGACACACAACTTTCAACAATTGCATGATAATTTTCAGGCTGTGGATGAAGTTGGCAGGTTGTTTATGTTATTGGGTATCAGCAAGGATCTTTCAAGAACATTACAGATTTGAATTTTACTTTCTTTATCCATTTCTGTAATTTCAACAGCCTAGAATCCATGTGCCCGATCTCTACTCCTGATAGTCTTACAGCAACTTCCAAACTGTAAGAACTGAGTTTAAAGCCATGTGGTCTACCAAGAAGCTTCCCTGTATACGCTTAGATATCATAATTTTGCATGACACATTAAAATGCTACTTATAAGAATAGTACAAATTCAGATTTAGAAGCAATGTAAGACATGGGTCTCCTTTAAGCTTTGTCTTGAACACAATTGTTAGACCAAGGAAGCTACTCCACCTTTCTAAGCCCATATCCTTTAGTTAGCTTCAATAAACTGAAAATGACAGCTTTTGTTTTATCTACTACTCAGGTTGCCACGAGAAGTGAAAGCCATGATAAAATTCTCTACACATAATGCATTTTTATACCATGAATTGAATTCCACATGTTCATAAACTTTACCCAAGGACACGGATAATAGAGGATCACTGAGTTTATTTATTCTATTTACTTATTTAAATTAAATTTATTTTAAACTGAGGCATGAAAACAAAATTACTTATTAATAGCTACCATGTGGTGTCTCAATATATGAATACGTTATGTAATGTCAAGTTAGACATATCTGTCTTCCCAAACACTTAATCATTTCTTTGTAGTGAAAATATTCAAAATCCTTCCCCATAGCATTTTGAGGTATTCAGTATGTCGTCGTTATGTATAGGAGCCCTACCATGCTACAGCACCTTTCCTTCCTAACCTCCCACAGGTCGATCAACCTTCCCCCACGTGACACATTTAAAAGTTACAGTGCTCTTTCACTGAGACAAGCATGCATCTTAATTTCTTGATATTTCTTATATGCAGTTAACTATGTAAGCCAGATACTGACTCAAAGGAATAAAAGAGAGACTACAGTTACATGTTTAGTAGCAAAGCAGGTTGAGGAAAAGTGGCGCCTGTAGATAAGAGGTTTGAATAGTTCCACATAGTAGGAGCTTTATCCCAAGCATTCCTTCAAGCCTCTGCCAACCACACTTGTTCTGGCTGAAAGTGAGCTGCTATCTGCTTATAGCAGAAATGCTTTTTCAAAAACAGTCAGGTGTAGAGCCGGTGGGGCAAAGAATTTCACCTGCAATCATTTCACCAGATCAAGCAAAGCCAGCATCTAAAATATTGTCAATCACCCTGTCATAGCTTGAGAAAGGATTTACTTCTGTTTTTATCTTTAATAAAGTAGCAAGTAATTTCTAGTTCAACAGAACAAAATAGTCAAAAGATAATTCCTGAGCATAGCAATAATATATAAAAAAAAAATCTATGAATGTAGAGAATGTAGCCACCAAGAAGGAAAATCACAATATAATCAGTGAAGCATTGGGCTGATTTTGCTGGTGATAGTTCAGCTTCAAAGAAAATGACAGAAAACAAAACCCCAGAGTTGAAGGCCCGCAGTGCCCAGGCGCGGCTCACCTGTTAAACCAGTCATCTGTGTACCGAGGGTACGGGTAGGGGTCATTGCTGCTGAAGTCATAACTGGCTTCTGCATTCTGAAAAACACAAGGCATGGCATGAAGTCAGCGAAGCCAAAGGCAGAGCGAGTGACAGTGCTGGGGGACGCACTAGCTGGTGCTCTGAGGGAGGAGCCTCCAGAGCCCTGAAAGGCTGTGACCGTGCCCTGACCTGGGCCTGGCATCTTCATCTCATCTTTAGGTTCTGTTTCCTCTGTGGGTTCACAGAGTTCACCCAGAATCCAGGCTTATGGTGAGCTTCCTTGATGCAGTTGGATGGATGGCCTGAGGTTTTAGTTTCATGTTACGGTGAGGTGGCCTTTGGTCTCTTGCTTTACTAACAAGGTCCACTTCCAGCTCCCTACTTCAGCCTGGCTGAGGTTGTCCCTTTTTCACTTAAGGATGCTAAACCCCTACCTGAGCCCCTAACATTGTTTATTCACTCAACAGATATGGACAGTCTTATGTATGTCAGAGACTTTGCCAAGATGGAGAAGACAACAGTGGCAATGATTAGAACTATAGTGGAGTTTTAGCATCCATCTGAAATCTTTAATTCCAAAATCAGAAACTTTTTGAGTGCTGATGTGACACCAAAGTGCAAAATTCCACACCCAGCCTCATGTGACAAATCATGGTTAAAAAGCAGTATATTGTATAAAATGACCCTTAGCCTAAGTGCATAAGATACATATGACACACCAAAGGCTTTCATGTGTAGCTTTGGGCCCCGCCCTTGAGACAATCTGGGTGTATGCAAATATATCCAAATTGGAAAGAAACCTCAAATCCAAAACACTTGTAGTCCCACACATTTTGGATGAAGGCTACTCAACCTCAACCTGCTCTAATTTAATAAACAAATGCACTTGGGAAGAAGTGGAATTTGGCCCTGCCAGTTTTCCTTGAGTCTTGAACATGTCGATCTTTTATTCCAGACTCTAGGTCTTCACCCAACATCAGGCTTCTAAAAAGGATCTCTCCTGTCTCCACTCCTCTACTCCCTCACATGGATCCAAGATTACTTTCTTTACACGTAAAGTTTAATTCTGTATCTGGTCTATGATACTAGTCTCTAGGACCTTCTCAGATTTGCATCCTTTTTCCTTTACTCTCTTTGAGATATCTAGATTTCAGTTTCTTCAGGGTTACCATTTAGAAATAGTAGTTTATTTGCCTTCTTCCAGAAGCATGTTCTACTCCTCCTGTCTCTAAAGTTTTCAGAAGTCGGAGCATTCTTAGGTACAGGTAGCAGGGCAGGAATATGGAAAGAAACACCAGTTAATATCTTTTCTTTTGAGTTTCATGGCTGAGGTTGATACTTTAGCAATAGATTTGAAAAACTGTTTGCTAAGCCTGGTTTATTTCTCCACAGAAGGGATTAGAATTCTATGGTTTGGATATGGAGCTTGGCATGAGCAGAGCCCTGAGCGCCACCCTTTGATTTGAGCTGTGTTCATGAAGTAGGATGGGGTTATGCTTGTTCCTTGGAAGGTCAAAGTCAGAGAGGTCTGAGCTACATCCTAGGACAGGGGCCTCAAATCATGGATCCAAAGTGGCTCCGTGAGGTACTTCAACTAATAGTCTTGAAGTATTCCTGATCTTTAGGGCAGGTTAGCGAGTAGCAGAATATTCTGTGGGAACTGAGCCTGGTGAGGGCATCACATTGGAAACAGCTGGCCTAGAAAGTTCTAGTGGTCAGGACAATGAAGATCTAGGGTTTAGGCAGGGTCTTCGTGGCCTGATAACTAAGGACAATGGGAATGGGGTTGTCCTGGAAGCCAGAGTGGACAGCAGGTGGACAGCTATCATAGGGCCTTTGAGCTTGAGGAGAGTTCTAGAGATAGAGAAGGTGGTGCAAAGGCTGAGTTGAGCAACATCAAGTTTCTGTCACCAGTGAATTTAGACTGGCAGACAGAATAGAAGATTGATTAGAGAGGGGCGGAGAATTTCTGCACTTGTTACTTGGGACTGCTTTCACAAGCTCTCCACTCTGGCTTATTTTTCTGGCTCAAAATCACCACTTTGCTTTGGATTGAGGTTGCTCGGCTCTCCATCCTGGGCTAGATGGCTTCTTCCAGGCAGGTGGAGGTTAGAAGAAGGGGTTGGCAAATTCTGACAGTGGAACTTGAAGCCGAGACCCTGGGAACCCTGCAATCATTTTTATAACAACAAAGACTGTGTCGATGTTGTATGAGGTCAAACTTGCCTCTCAACGTTGCAATAAACGATGACATAGGAACTCTAAAAGTTTGTTATATTTATGCTGAATTTGATGACTAATATTTAATTCCTTGGGTAACAGTCTACATGGAGCATTAAGAAAGGCAAACAGTTTTGTTTGGCGGACTGTTTTCTGGCTGAAAATCAAATGGTTTACAGCGAGAAAGAACAACGAACAAAATTTTCAAGGGTTCTGTTTATGCTTTTATAGCCAAACTGAATCATCTATTGATTTGAATTACAATGTTGTCTCCCATAAAATTACTTATGTACAAGAGTAAGTTAAACTGGCCTTGAATTATATGGGACTTTTCTGTGGTGGCCATTAACATGGAAAATTTAGAGTAAGTGGTGTTCTGGTAAACTCAGTGTTGTGGTCATTCTAGGCTGAGCTCAGTGCTTGTTGTTGTTTGGTCTTCTCTAACTTTTTTCTAAAATAGGTGAATCTATTTTCTTGCTTTAGAAAATATTAGCTGTTTAGTGAGCATAATTTAATCTTTGGTGATTCAGGATAGGGATGATTCAGAGTTGTCATTAAGAACTTGAATTGTTATTGTACCCTCTCACAGACAGTGAGAAGACTGGGTTGAATCCAAACTGACCTCAGGACTTCCCTGGAAGTTATTTCTGGAAGAAACTTCTGATGATGGCTCATTTTCTCTTATAAAAGTTGAGTGCAGGGGAAAAAAACCAGCCTGTGGTATTCAATAATCTTAAGACTTAATTTTGGAATGTTAGAATATGTAGTCAGAAAGCAAGTTTATGCTTGCCCCGAGCCAGAAAGTTAAATAATTATGGGTTTGGTCATCATAGGGTGTGAGTTTTAGGTACCTGACGTGCATGCACTGCACTCTAAACCAAGAAGACAGGGGGAGTACTGATTTTCAGAAAATCCTCTGACTTATTATATCCCAACTCCCAAATCTGGAACTCAATGTCTCTGTGACCCGGGGGACTCGCTTGCCAGGCTGCACAAGATACTTGTATCTGTGGACACAGCTTGTAGATGGAGGAAGAGAAGGGTTAATATCAGAGAGGTCCGGCTTTAGTTGATTGTGACCTTGAAAGTTTATTGCTGCTTTGGAAACAGTAACTCCCTCATCTTTAAATTGCCGATGATAGATGGGACTGTTACCACTCTGTTGCTGTGAGGATAAAATGAAAGAATGGACAGATGCAGTGTGGACATTTTCTCAGTTCTTACTACTCCTTTTGTGTCTTCATCCCTCCTTGATCACCTACGGCAAGAATTACAAAATATGGCCCAGGCACAAAATCTGACCCACAACTTGTGTTTGTAGATAAAGTTTTATTAGAACACAGTCACATCCCTTTGTTTACCAATGGCCTGTGGTTGCCCTTGCAATACAGCAGCAGAGTTAAGCAGCTATGCAGAAGCTGCAGAGCCTAAGAGAGTCATTACCTGTCCTTTGTTGGGAAGTTTGCCAATGCCTGACCCAGTGTGTCCTAGGCCACATAGGCTCCCTGGCTGCTATCCTAAAGCCTGCAGTATAGCATCTCACCCAGACCATGTCTTCTAGGACAGTCCCCTGGAACAGATCTGGGACGCATCTCTCCCATGCCCCGTTCTTTCTAGGTGCACTGGGGCTGCTGAAAAGAAATCTGGTCCGAACTAGTCAGACTACACCATAAGGAGTTTGAAGACTTGTCTCATGCCAATCAAAAGTGGATTATCAGGTGAAAAGCCAGGATCAGAAGCTGGGGCTCAGCCCTCAGGGGCACCGATGGAGACCACAGAGAACATCCTACAGTGATGTAGAGCAAGGACCACCTGGTTTCTCCTCCATCATTGGTTGAGGGCAGCTTCTGGGAGTCCCCACCCCAGTAGCTCTGCTGCCTTTCCACCTGAAAATGTCCCACTGTCTTCATGGTCAGAACCCTTCTTTGCAGAGAAGGGCAGGTGAATGTAGGCCTCCAGCTTGTAGAAGCAATTGCTTCAATGAGGTTGATGACCTCATTCATCTTCCTTTTATTTTGGTACTGAAGACTGAACCCAGGGCCTTGTGCATGCTAGGCCAGTGCTCTACCACTAAGCCATACCCCAGCCCCATTGTTCATTTTTAAGAATGATTTTTTTTAACTCTCATGATACTAGATTCTTGCAATAAGCTGATATATTTATGTGGACACCCATTGATGAAATGGAACAGATGTTTTTAGAGCACCAAGGAGCAAATTCTAGTCTGACTACAAAGTTTGGAAAGTGGTTCCTAGAATCAGGGCTGTCATTGTGCCTTGCCCGAGGGTGCCTACCCAAGAGGAGCAGCGGGGGCTGCCAAGGCCACATGCTTTGGGGGTGGGGCTTTAAAAATAATTGTTCAGCCCAGAGGGGCTGCCCTTGTCTTCTCTGTCTGCCCAAAGGGGACATCTTTTCCTGATTGGTTTGCCTGGAGGAAAGATGCTGTTTTGCAATTTACCCACTGATAGAGGGCACCTGTTTTCAACTTCTCCCAAGTGCACTGTATAGGTACAAATAGGTCTACAAGCAATGACAAGGAAAGGCCTCTCTAGTTATAGTCATATACAAACCCATTCAAGAAACCTCACTAGGGAGGTAAATATCGAGTAATACAAGACTTAAGTAACATCTCAAACAGTAGGTGTTTGTGATCACGAGGACAGCGTGGCATACTAGTATGATTAATTGCCAATGCAATTCCACAGCCATAGGAATTCGGGACAAGAAACTACGTTGCATTTGCCCCTTTATTCTGGATTGCTACTTTCCCTGAAGGCATTTAACCAAATAACCCAGCTAGGAGCTGTGTAACTGTATTAGCTGAAATTGCACTGTG